ATAGGGGACAGTTTAAGTAGAAATTAAGCTTTGTTTGTTATTAAGTTGATGAAAGGCAGATGAAAGTTTCACTAGAGGTTCATTTGACTGCATAATGTTTTAGTACTGTATCCCATTACATATCTCACAACAGTTTACAATGGTGCAAAGACGTCTGCTTGAAGTGCCCTCCTGACAGTACGCATTTGCATGACAGTTTACTAAATGGTTCAATGGCAATAAAATACGAGCAGATTAACATTTAGCATTCTAGAATTCAAAAAGTGATAAAAGAAGCAGGCAACATTTTAAACTCCCGCTCACCATTCCAAGACACGATCTGCCACTGAAGCAAAGAGGCCTGGGAGAATGATGGGAATGAGTGTGCGTTGCAGCCCCAGTCTAGCCTGATAATGAGGCGATTACCAAATTAGTCCAGCAATGCTGCTTTATTTCAGGCCCTATTACACGGCCCATCAAGTATCACTAAACAAGTGCCTGGCACATCTCCTCCACACAGCTCTAAAAAAGGACTATGGCTCTGCCTCGTAAGTTGAGGGAAACTTTTCCTGTAACACCTACACAACACTGATGAGGACAGAAACAACCAATGAGACGTGACCATGATGGAAGTCTGATGAGAAAAATATGCCTATCATTATTCAATCAATAGCATTAAAATTGCACTCCGTAGTTTCAATTTCCAGTCAATAAATAAGCGAAACCAGTATTAGGGGTATTTCACGTTTTTTTTTGTCTCAACCTCCACTGTGTATGTAGTTCGTCCCCCGTACCACAAGGGGAAATACAGCAATGCAGTGCGCCTTAGAGCACCCCCTTCTTAAAGCCCACCTCTGTATTATGTTTCCAGACCTTTCTTCAGATTAAGTACATCTGCCAGAGTGAATCAGCAGGCCTAATATGTCTCTTAGATAAAGGAAGGATGAACAAGGTTCCTCATAAACAAACAGAATCCACAATAAGCCTGTCGACCTTGTTCTGTCCTATTAAGGCTTTACAATCTCTCAGCCCATAACAACAACCGTCCCTGAGACCAGACCAGCCAATTAATATCATGTTCACTAACACATACGACTCTTCCGCACACAAACGGTGGCAATGTGACAAGCCATTTCTTTGTGTTTGCACGGCTAACAAAGAAGACGAGGTATTGAGCAGAGATCTTGTGTATAATAGGTAATTGCCTGTCAGGATGATCCAGTGTAGAGTAAGTGTCTCTGTTCTGTTCATGGTTCAGTGTTAATAAACGCAAATCTAATCAGCAAAGAAAGGGCAATAACCCAGAATCCTCCAGTGGGTCATTAGCCCCTGTGTGTTCTAGCTGCGTAGTAATAAGATGTTATCAAAGGCACCTCAGTCACGACAACTAATCTATACAAGCCTTCAACACACAAACAACAATAAGCACCATTATCGTGACCATGTCAACCCCAACAAGGTAGTGTGTAAACAACAACATGGTGCCTCTGATAAACAACAACATGGTGCCTCTGACCCGTTGACTCGATTTGTGTTCTTTGTGACAAATCAGGTCAGGTTCAATGGGATGAACCATGTTCATTGTTACATTGACTGACGGAATGTTCTTGTTATCTGGGAAGGTACAAGTCCAGTGTAACTAAATTTATTTTACTACAGTCCTGTGCAATACAATATTGTAGATACCTAGTTCCACTAAAGGGTTGAGCTATATCTATAGCAAACTTTCTAATCTATTACTGCATGTGTATGAATCTTGACTGTGGTCCTGTTCCACTAAACTGAGAACTTTGTAGTTGGTTTTCTTTCATCCCCAGGTAGGTGAGTCAGAAGAGAGGCATCCCACACAGTTATTGTCCCACACCTGAGCAGCGTCATGATTTTTGTTTTGCACTGGTGTGAGACTTAAACTGGAGAGGACAGTGGTGGCAGCACTCTGGCGTCCTCTCCCTCCTCTCACTAGGTCTCTGGCTGGGCTGTCACTTCGGCTGGCAGTCAAGCTACTCATTATGGCAATGGAGATGAGAGTTTCATGTGAGAAGACTGGGGAGGAAGGGCAATGTCAGGTCAATTTCTTTCTAAAGCCTGTATCTTATATAAAATGTATTAAATTGATAGCAGAATCGGGGATTGGATACTGATAGTGAAACTAATCTCTCAAGTCAATTACGGGTTGAGCAGGTTGACATAAAAACAATTAATAACCGATGCGAAATACTGGAGCTAATGATCCATAAGAAACCAATATTGAGAGTGCTTTGTGTAAAGGGTTTGATGTGTACTACACATGTATAGGCCTTTCTGTTGTTGCACACTGAGTATACCAAACATTAAGAACATCTTCCTAATATTGAGTTGCAAGCTCCCCTCTTTTGCCCTCAGAACTGCCTCAATTCGTCGGGGAATAGACTCTACAAGGTGTCAAAAGCATTTCACAGGGATGCTGGCCCATGTTGACTCCAATGCTTCCCACAGTTGTGCCAAGTTGGCTGGATGTCCTTTGGGTGGATGACTATTCTTGATACACACAGGAATCTGTTGAGCGTGAAAAACCCAGCAGCGTTGCAGTTCTTGACACAACCGGCGCACCTGGCACCTACTAGCATACCCTGTTCAAAGGCACTTAAATTTGTCTTGCCCATTCACCCTTCGGAATGGCACACCTACACAATCCATGTCTCAATTGTCTCAATGCTTAAAAATCCTTTATCCTGTCTCCTCCCCTTTATTTACACTGATTGAAGTGGATTTAACAATAAGGGATCATAGCTTTCACCTGGATTCACCTGGTCAGTCTATGTTATGGAAAGAGCATAACATAATGTTTTGTATACTCAGTGTATATATTAATTGTATAATCTACTAGCTGTAGCACAGCCCTGATAGGCTACAGTACATCCCATTAGACCCAGTATGCAGATTGCCATTTAACTGGAGGTGTCTAGCTGAGCTGAGAGAATTAGAGATAACATCTGTGGCTTATATTCAATCTTATTCCTCAGCCCACAGAGTACAATACCCTCCCTGACACCACTACCCAAACTATAACTACATCCCAGCAAGCAATACACAACTGTATATGTCAGGGGTCACACTGCACAAGTTAAATAAGGAAGAAAAATATACAAGCTGTGGTTTATGATGTGGGAGGGAGAATGTGGCATAGGCACATAGCCATGAGGAGTGGAGGAAACTTCAACAGCATATTTATGCAGATTCAATCGCATTTAATTACATTTGATCTCTCTCTCTCTCTCATAGCTAATAAACTCAGATTTGATACGTCTCTCTCTTATAGCTACCTTCTCAGGTCCCACCACACAAGAGCTAGATACCATGTAGCTAGAGTCAATGGAGCTAGAGACCATTGGGGAGAGACCATGGAGCTAGCAACTACTGGGGGGAGACCATGGAGCTAGAAACTACTGGGGAGAGACCATGGAGCTAGAGACCATTGGGGAGAGACTATGGAGCTAGAGACCATGGAGCTAGAGACCACTGGGGAGAGACCATGGAGCTAGAGACCATGGAGCTAGAGACCATGGAGCTAAAGACCATGGAGCTAAAGACCATGGAGCTAGACACCACTGGGGAGAGACCATGGCGCTAGAGACCATGGAGCTAGAGACCACTGGGGAGAGACCATGGAGCTAGAGACCATGGAGCTAGAGACCATGGAGCTAGAGACCATGGAGCTAGAGACCATGGAGCTAGAGACAATTGGGGAGAGACCATGGAGCTAGAGACCATGGAGCTAGAGACCATGGAGCTAGAGACCATGGAGCTAGAGACCACTGGGGAGAGACCATGGAGCTAGAGACCATGGAGCTAGAGACCATGGAGCTAGAGACCACTGGAGAGAGACCATGGAGCTAGAGACCATGGAGCTAGAGACAACTGGGGAGAGACCATGGAGCTAGAGACCATGGAGCTAGAGACCATGGAGCTAGAGACCACTGGGGAGAGACCATGGAGCTAGAAACTACTAGGGAGAGACCATGGAGCTAGAGACCACTGGAGAGAGACCATGGAGCTAGAGACCATGGAGCTAGAGACAACTGGGGAGAGACCATGGAGCTAGAGACCATGGAGCTAGAGACCATGGAGCTAGAGACCACTGGGGAGAGACCATGGAGCTAGAAACTACTAGGGAGAGACCATGGAGCTAGAGACCATGGAGCTAGAGACCATGGAGCTAGAGACCATGGAGCTAGGGACCATGGAGCTAAAGACCATGGAGCTAAAGACCATGGAGCTAGACACCACTGGGGAGAGACCATGGAGCTAGAGACCATGGAGCTAGAGACCATGGAGCTAGAGACCACTGGGGAGAGACCATGGAGCTAGAGACCACTGGGGAGAGACCATGGAGCTAGAGACCATGGAGCTAAAGACCATGGAGCTAGAGACCATGGGTTCGGAGGATCAGGATGTGTTACCATAAATACCACCATGAATAATAAAAGAGCCTGAGTGTTGTTCAAAGATGAGGCTAGAGAGTAAACAGATCAATAGCTGATTAAGAAGAGGAGCAGGGTCTTACACAACTCCCTGGAACACAGAGGAAACTTTCCATCTCTACCAGTACCTTCTGCCTCCTCTGTAACTTTAACACGCTACACCCCGGAAATGACTACATATGGCTTGTGTAGGTGTCCAAATCATAAGGGAATTGGTTGCGTTGTGAACTTAGGAATGTGAAGTATGTTTTTTTAATAAGCTTGTGTTTATGTTTAGTTATTAAAGGGTGTGGGAGTGTGTTATTTTTCCAAAAGCTTAGTTCTCAGTGGACTGGCTTTTCCATCATCTCAGGATAAAAAAATCCTCAAACTGAATATTCCGCAAAGCCAATGGGAATAATTACTGTCGTTATATAAATCAGATCTGAACATTCTCTACACACAGAATTAAGTACTTTTCCGTAGAATGCCTTAAAATTGAAGAGTTTTCCTTTTCTAGAAGTTGAAAAACCAGTCCACAAACCTTTGAGTGAGAACACTAGATCTGACACTTTCACACAGTTAGCGAAAGCGATGATGTTTCTTGTCACTATGTCTCTTACCTCCCAGCAGTTTGGGCTGACAATTGACAAACTCTGGCTTGCTCTGAGAGCTGTAGCGCTGGCAGGTGTGGTGGAGGATCTGGATAAAGGTGCACTTCTCACCGGCCGAACCAGCCACCCACTGGTCAAAGGCATTGTCGAACACCAAGTCAAACTCCGGACAGTCCTTGGAAAGAGAGACAGAACGATAGAAACAAAGAGAGATAGAAAAAGACTGCACTCATGAACCAGTCGCTAGGGGTTGATTTGGAATTTGCCCTGCTGAAATAGTCTGGGTCATGTGGTCAGGAAAAATGAATCCCTAGAGACAGAAGTTCAGTGTACTGTAAACTCACTCTGTTGGGGTCACAGCCGTTGACCTGTCTCAGCTGGTCTATGGTCCACATTGACCTCTTAGCAAAGGACGAGGAGCCCTGGAACTGCTTCACCTTGGTGATGGACACATGGGACGGCTTCTTATTCGTCACTGTGGATAGAAAATAACGTAATGTTTAGTTTAAAAGTAACATGATATTTAATGGAGAAAGTAGGCTGTTGATGGAACTAAGTTAGATGCCAAATGTTCCTAAAAAGAAAGTGCCGTTTTGAACAGAGTGACAAGTTTACTCCATAGCAGCTGTGTTCAGGAATACAGACTAGAGTTCATTAACAATAGCCATTGGCTGTTTGTGCCAAAAACAGCATAGGCTTATCACCAAAAGTAACAGAATATAACAAGCACTTTTTCCTGAGAGAAAGCCCTGCCTAATGTAGACTGGGCCTCCTTGTGGCCGGGCCTTTGACATTATCATAGTTACCCAGTAAGAATATGTCCACTTATCTTTCATTTACTTCCAATGGGAGCTATCCCCTTTAACCCAACCACACAGTGTCTGACAGTATGATAAGGTGCAGTGTAACTCAAAGAAAATAAAATGCTGACTTCATTGGTCTTGTCAGCGTCTGCGGTTATGGATTGCTGACACCTTTTACACTTCGCCAGACGCAACTCGAACCAAAAAAAAAAGCAACACAATTTTTCTTGATAAAAGTGATGTATTGCTTCCAGTCCGCTGTCGACTAAATCTAAGTGGATATCAAGAACACCTAAAACCTTGTGGTAGATAATCTTCTCTTAAAGTACTATCTTGAGAAAGGGGGAAAGTATAAATCAACTCAGATGTGGTTGTGCCAAAGAGGAACTCACTCATGGTATGGCCTGGGGCCAACAATCCCGTATCCATATCCTGCCCTGTGACACCACCACAATGTCCTGGGCTATTCCCCTCACCCCCCTGCATTCCAGACGTGACTCTTCCCAGGGATCAAAGCTCAGTGTTTACAGATCATCCTGCTCAGAGTTCCTTCATGTGTCCGGACCACTGCATGCGTGCATAGCTGGATCCAAGCTGCCAGATATCTTACGGAAGGGCCAACGTGCTCCCTTGTTGTTTTTGCAAGCACAAGCGCCAGGCCCCTGTTTCCACTCTCCCCATCTGTCGTTGTGTCATCCTGGATAGATAGGCCCTGTTTAGGTCACTCCTCTGTTCTGAGTTTCATTTCCACAATACCATATGGGTAGGTTGCTATCGGTTACCGACATGTCTGTGGCCTTTTCGTGGAATCGTCTGAAGTCGGACCAAGCCCTCCTGTTTTTCACGTTATCTTTTTAATAACATAGGTAGGGCTCGATCCCTGTCTTTTCTTTGCATCATCCTGTTTGTTGTGATAGTATCTCCCTGGTGAGGGGAGATGTTTGGATATATTGTACATGTCCATTTATACAGCTGTATCTGATAGTGAAAATAGTGGCCTTTGCTCTCAGGTTGTGACAGATAGTCAGGGACTGGGCTGGACATCCTGTTTTCTACCTGAGCCCTGTGATGCTTCTGGTTTGACCTACTCTGTTCATTTTGATATTACAAGATTTCCAGTGAGCACTGGAAACACTGTCTGTTCACCCAGCAACAGTATGCGTCTACAAAGTGGAACTGGTTTCTTAAAATGGTTCTTCTTGACTAGTAACACCTACCTACAGTGCATTCGGAAAGTATTCAGACCCCTTGACTTTTTCCACATTTTGTTACAGCCTTATTCTAAAATGAAATTACTTTTTTTCCCTCATCAATATACACACAATACCCCATAATGACAAAGCGAACAGGTTATATGTTTTTGCTAATTTATTAAAAATTAAAATCTGAAATACCTTATTTACATAAGTATTCAGACCCTTTGCTATGAGACTCGAAATTGAGCTCAAGTGCATTCTGTTTCCATTGATCATCCTTGAGATGTTTCTACAACTGGATTGAAGTCCACCTGTGGTAAATTCAATTGATTGGACATGATTTGGAAAGGCACACACCTGTCTATATAATGTCCCACAGTTGACAGTGTATGTCAGAGCAAAAACCAAGCCATGTGGTCGAAGGTATTGTCCGTAGAGCTCCGAGACAGGATTGTGTTGAGGCACAGATCTGGGGAAAGGTACCAAAACATTTCTGCATCATTGAAGGTCCCCAAGAACACAGCGGCCTCCATCATTCCTAAATTGAAGAAGTTTGGAACCACCAAGACTCATCCTAGAGCAGCCCGGCCAAACTGAGCAATTGGGCGAGAAGGGCCTTGGTCAGGGAGGTGACCAAGAACCCGATGGTCACTCTGACAGAGCTCCAGAGTTCCTCTGTAGAGATGGGAGAACCTTCCAGAAGGACAACCATCTCTGCAGCACTCCACCTATCAGGCCTTTATGGTAGTGGCCAGACGGAAGCCACTCCTCAGTAAAAAGGCACATGACAGCCCGTTTGGGAGTAAAATAAATAAATACATATATTATGATTGAATATTAAAACATACAATCTACCTGCAGTGAAGCCGCTCAACATCTACATCACATTAGTCATCTAAGCAGTACCGGAGTGCCAAGTCTAGGTCCAAAACACTTCTAAACAGCTTCTATCCCCAAGCCATAAGACTCCTGAACAGCTAATCATGGCTACCCGGACTATTTGCACTGCCCCCCCACCCCATCTTTTTACGCTGCTGCTACTCTGTTAATTATTTATGCACAGTCACATTAACTCTACCCACATGTACATATTACTTCCACTACCTCAACTAGCCGGTGCCCCCGCACATTGACTCTGCACCGGTACCCCCCTGTATATATAGCCTCCCTACTGTTATTTTATTTTACTTCTGCTCTTTTTTTCTCAACACTTTTTTGTTGTTGTTTTATTTTACTTTTTTATAAAAAAATAAATGCACTGTTGGTTAAGGGTTGATTTGATTTGATTTAACAGACTCCCATCCAGAGCGACTCACAGAAGCAACCAGGGTCAACAACCTGCTCAAGGGCACGTCGACAGATCTCCCACAAGGTCAAAAACGGGGATCCGAACCAGCGACCTATCAGCCACTGGCCCAGGCTCCCAACCGCCAAGCCACCAGCCCTCCAAGATCCCCCCACCAGTTCCCCGAAAGCTGCCCCTCAACCACCTGAGACCCCCCCCCCCCCCCCCCCCCCCCCCCGAGAAAAATAGAATAATTCCATTCCCCACCCCCAAGACCACCGTCCCCCCCAAGCCCGTCCCCCAATGCACCAATAACCAACAAAATGAAGAAAATACAAAAAAGAGAAAGACAAAAGAAAACAGAATAAAACAATTAAAAAAAACAAAAAAGACATCAAGCACAACAAAAATATTAACAGCAAGGCCAACTGAATATGTTTGAGTGCATGTATGGCACTATTTGCGTGTGTGTGTCCGTGTATGTGCACGTGTGTGTATATGCATATGTACAAACACCTGCGTGGCATCAGCATTAGCTGTGACAACACTGCCCCTCAGTGTCATTCAAACTTACTATTTGTTTTGTTTTATTTAGACTTTATTTTTTTTTATTTTATCTTGGCAAACCACTTGGAGTTTTCCAAAAGGCACCTAAAGGACTCTCAGGCCATGAGAAACAAGATTCTCTAGTCTGATGAAACCAAGATTTAACTCTTTGGCCTGAATGCCAAGCATCACGCCTGGAGTAAACCTGGCACCATCCCTACGGTGAAGCATGGGGGTGGCAGCATCATGCTGTGGGGATGTTTTTCAGCAACAAGGGACTAGCCAGGATCGAGGGAAAGATGAACGGAGCAAAGTACAGCAAGATCCTTGATGAAAACCTGCTCCAGAGCTCTCAGGACCTCAGACTGGGGTGAAGGTTCCCCTTCCAACAGGACAACGACCCTAGGCACACAGCCAAGACACCGCAGGAGTGGCTTCGGGACAAGTCTCTGAATGTCCTTGGGGCTGCCCAGCCAGAGCCCGGACTTGAACCCAATCGAACATCTCTTGAAAAATGTAAAAGATAACAAAGCAAAAATGTTTTTATGGGGTATTGTGTGTAGATTGATGAGGGGGAAAATTGTTTTTATCCATTTTAGAATAAGGCTATAATGTAACAACATGTGGAAAAAGTCAAGGCGTCTGAATACTTTCAAATTGCAAAGCGAGAAATAGTCAGCCAGCCATGACATGAAGGGATCCAATCCTATATCATGGATTACACAGGGGTCAATTCAACTTCTCCAGATCAAAATATTTCCGAAAACAATCATGGATAATAGAAGAGAAGTGATGAACCAATTCAGAAAGGTCAGAGGGTACAAAGAGAGGTCATCATTATACCAGCGAGGATGCTCTTTATCCAGTTTGCTCATCCAACAGTCATACAATACCGACAGCAAAGCAATTCTCCCAAAATGTATTAAACAGCTACTGCATCACTTGGTAAGTGGGGAGGGGAGGTGGAGAGTCTTATAGAAAAGATTCAAATCATAGAAAGTAAGGCTGGGAATTGCCAGGGACCTGACGATAGGATAATATGATGATACTTAAGTGCCGATACGATATGTATTTTGATTCTCACGATTCTATATGTATTGTGATTCGATACTGCGATTTTATCGCAATTTGATGTTTCAAACATGTTGCTCACTATACTGTATGTCTGCTGCAGAGAGAACATGAGAGAACATGAGAGAACATGATAAAACTAGTTTTGATCAGTCAGGGAAATAAAATAGCTGAAAACATGTTACCTCACTATTTAAAAATAAGATGCAGAACAAGCTATAGGAAGACAAATACCAGAGTTTTGGCGCAGGTACAGCAGATTAGCGCTGTAGCAAAAAAACTGTTGTCATGCTGAAACAGGAAAGGGCCTTCCCCAAACTGTTGCCACAAAGTTGGAAGCACAGAATCGTCTAGAATGTCATTGTATGCTGTAGCGTTAAGCTTTCCTGTCACTGGAACTAAGGGGCCTAGCTCGAACCATGAAAAAACGCCCCCAGAGCATTATTTCTCCTCCACCAAATTTTACAGTTGGCACTACTCATTGGGGCAGGTAGCGTTCTCCTGGCATTTGCCAAACCCAGATTCGTCCGTCGGACTGCCAGATGGTGAAGCGTGATTCATCACTCCAGAGAACGCGTTTCCCAGAGAACGCGTTTCCAGAGTCCAATGGTGGCGAGCTTTACACTACTCTAGCCGACACTTGGCATTGCGCATGGAGATTTCAGACTTGTGTGCGTATGCTCGGCCATGGAAACCCATTTCATGAAGCTCCTGACAAACAGTTATTGTGTTGACGTTGCTTCCAGAGGCAGTTTGGAACTCGGTAGTGAGTGTTGCTCCTAAATGTTTCCACTTCACAATAACCGTACTTAGAGTTGACTGGGGCAGCTCCAGCAGGGCAGAAATTTGACAAACTGACTTGTTGGAAAGGTGGCATCCTATGACGATGGTGCCACGTTGAAAGTCTCTGAGCTCTTCAGTAAGGCCATTCTACTGCCAATGTTTGTCTATGGAGATTGCATGGCTGTGTGCTCGATTTTATACACCTGTCAGCAACGGGTGTGGCTGAAATAGCAGAATCCACTAATTTGAAGGGGTGTCCACTTTAGTATATATATAGTGTGTGGTATCCCGGGAGGTCTACCCCGGGGGTTGGTGATAGAGGTGAGGTACGTGCCGCGACGTTGGCTCCCTCTGCTGGGAGTACCCGGGCTGGGCACCCCGACGCTGAGGGCACCAATTACGGGTATTTAGGGGAGAGTGCCAACCAGCCGAGCAGACCACATAAATGGAGCACCGTGGCACACCTCGGGAGAGAGAAAGAGAGAGGCAAGGAGTGAGCCGACAGAGGGGAACGAAGCTCTCGGAGATCCACGGTTGTTACTTTTATTTTTTGTTGCATAGTAAAGTCGTGTTTTCTGACTAGAACCTCCCTGTCTCTGTGTCCATCTTTGTGCGCTCAACCCAACACCCCATGGTTTACCACAAGTGTATATTGTGGAACGAACAGCTGACTGAAGGTGGGACGGCTGGGCATTCGTGCAGTTGAGTCCATTTCTGCGGTAACATGGACTCTTAACAACGTGATAAAACTTTGTTTCTCCTTGCTGCAACAAGCAAGGTGTTGTAGCAAAGAGCCTTAGGTTTCCGAAGCAATGCCCGCCTACCTGCAGCAGCAGCACACATATAAATAATTCATTCTATTTCTATGGCAGCACATGCAGTCAGGAGCGGAGGAGAACATGTGATACTCAAACGGTTTTTACAGTGACCATGGTCATTTGGCTGGCCAATTACCATCATCCAAAATGCCATGACCGCCACAGCTCTTCTACTGTGCATACATATGGAGAGATTGTCCTTTGAGTATATCTCCCTCCACTACTGCAAACCCAGTCAGCCCTTCAGCCAAGCGTGACGACCACGTACAGTTCTCCTCCTTTCTCCTCACCACTTCGACAATTAACAAAGTTTCACAATTTTCATCTGTAAACGACTTCAGCTCGCTTGTCCCTAAATGAAGCAGTTAAAGACAGCACTCGTTTTTGTACCATGCATATTGGATTACCATGGTAACCCTCTCTCTCCAAGGTGGCACTCCGGAAAGCAGATCTGACTGGGGGACTGAAGGGTCTGATTTCTCAAGAGGGCTTCACACCCACCTGGTCTGGAGAAAGCTTTGAAATACATCATATAGAGGAGGAGAAAGAGAGCGTGCGAGAGAAAGAGTCAAACGGTGCAAATCAAAAATCCCTTTAATCTTCCAAGCACTTTCTTTTCCCCCTCTATCTTTGTGCTTTATGGAAAGAGGGTGAACAAATTCAGAGCTACAGAAGTGTGTTCACGCACAAAATGTGGAGTGATATTGAGTTCTGAAGCTGATCCAAGCATGGGGGTAATCATGTTGTTTTAGAACCTCCTACAGTGGCGTGTGCATGTCAGGAGAAAGTATTGTGTCCAACTCCTGTGGGCACTCGTGTGTAATCAAAACTGCCCTGTACCATTCAGATATTGTTGTTTTGCATCTCGATGTGGACTCCTGTCCGTCCATTTCCTCTTTTACTTTACACCAAATTACTGAGGTGAAATACTGTCGGTAGTCCTTCATGATGTAGGTTGTTGACATAAGGACTGTGTAGTGTTATGCAATTGAGACATAATATTCTCAGTCTTGGTCACACTTGTGGGTGGTCCATCACATTCAACAAACCTTCATTGTCATAGGCTGGATCAGAACTCTCATTATGCATCCTTTAGCTAACAATATGGTTTGGCCTACTGTAGATTACCTTGGATCATATTCATTTTCTAAGGCTCCATTTATTTCAATTCAAATGTTGTTCCAATGAAATATGTTTTCCTAGCAATCCTCATACAAATGGGAATTGTACCGAAGGGGTATTCAAAACCTCAAACCTGCACACTTCTCTCATGATTATTTGTGCGTCTTGGCAATGTATGCTTTCGCTAGCATTAGTAACGTTACTCCTGTTGCTATCTCAGCAACCACAATTATGACAATATTTCCCTTAAGCGTGAGCTGAGTCTGGGAAAGTTCCTTCTCGTGTCCCCTGTCTGCGTATGGTAGTTGAGTTTCCTTCTGGCCACAGGACTGCACACAGCTAAGAACAATAAGCCCCTGCCCCACTGGAGGGAATTATATTGTGTCATTAGCAAGAGCATGTGAGAGGAACTCCCACTTTGTCCTTCCTCTCACATTGACTTTGGTTTGACATTTGGCCTTACACCTTTGGCTGCGTCTCCATGATGGTGGAATCGTACATGGAAGGTTTCTCACTGAAAATGACTGAAAGTCTGCCTTCGACGTCAATTAATGATTTACATGGAAGTCTAAGTTGCGTGCTCTTCATTTCACTCTGAGTTTCATGATTGTTTGTAAAAACCCTTATCTCAAATATTAATTATCTGGTGGAACACCCTAGAGTCTCAAGTGAATGAGAACATAATCATGATAACAACGTGAACCACCTTTGGGAGACATTTGTTTTCTCACAATGTTTTGTTTTGTTTACTCTGACAATGGAGCCAAGGTCTCTGATGACATGTAGTAATTGTCTGATAGTATGGAGACAAACTCTGACAAGGTAGGAGTCAACAGCAGCATGTGAAATTGATTCGATGGGCTCAGAGGTGTCTGGTTGTTTAATTCAGAGTGCTGACAGTACAGTCGAATGGCCCTGAGATTTCACCTCTCATTTACTGACGCATGCTAACAGAGAAACCCATCCTATTTCTTGAGACGACGCCTATCATATTTCTTTAAAAATAAAGAGCAAAACAAAACATGTCATCCCCAAATAGGCCTAGGTGTTATAGTATTTTTACTTCACTTCTGTAATGCATAATTTCAGATGCACTTCTCCTGTTGTTTTGTGCCGTTAGTTTCCCAAGAGTTACGTAACCGGTATTCTCCTTCCTGGCGTCACGCCGATTGTTTTGAAACAATCGCCACAAAGCCTGTGATTTGCCACCTTATGGGTGAGCAGAGGAATATGCTAATGAAGGATATGTCTGTCAAGGCTGTTCGATCCCAAAGGAGAAGAATCATAACACTTCTTGTTGTTGTCATTCTCCATGCCTTTTTTTTTATTTTCATGCATCGTTGCATTGTTGTTGGGGCGGCAGGTAGCTTAGTGGTTAAGAGCGTTGTGCCAGTAACCGAAAGGTCGCTGGTTCTAATCCCCTAGCAGACTAGGTGAAAAATCTGTCAATGTGCCCTTGAGCAAGGCACTTAATCCTAATTGCTCCTGTAAGTCGCTCTGGATAAGAGCGTCTCCTAAATGACAAAAAATGTAAAAATGTTGTTTTCAGCGATGACATACATTACATGGCCAAAAGTATGTGGCCACAACTTCAAATTAGTGAACTTGGCTATTTCAGCCCGTTGCTGACAGGTGTATAAAATCGGGAACACAGCCATGAAATCTCCATAGACAAAAACATTGGCAGTAGAATGTCCTTACTGAAGAGCTCTGACTTTCAACGTGGCACCGTCATAGGATGCCACCTTTCCAACAAGTCAGTTCGTCAAATTTCTGCCCTTCTAGAGCTGCCCCGCTCAACTGTAAGTGCTGTTATTGTGAAGTGGAAACGTCTAGGAGCAACAACGGCTCAGCCGCGAAGTGGTAGGCCACACAAACTCATAGAACGGGGCCGCCAAGTGCTGAAGAGCATAGCGCATAAGAATCATCTGTCCTCGGTTGCAAAACTCACTAATGAGTTCCAAACTGCCTCTGGAAGCAACGTCAGCACAACAGCTGTTCGTCGGGAGCTACATGAAATGGGTTTCCATGGCCGAGCAGCCGCACACAAACCTCCATGCGCAATGCCAAGCTTAGGTTGGAGTGGAGTAAAGCTCGCCGCTATTGGACTCTGGAGCAGTGGAAACGCGTTCTCTGGAGGGATGAATCACGCTTCACCATCTGGCAGTCCGACAGATGGATCTGGGTTTGGCGGATACTTGGAGAACGCTACCTGCCCCAATGCATAGTGCCAACTGTAAAGTTTGGTAGAGGAGGAATAATGGTCTGGGGCTGTTTTTCAAGGTTCGGGCTAGGCCCTTTAGTTCCAGTGAAGGGAAATCTTAACGCTACAACTTACAATGACATTCTAGATGATTCTGTGCTTCCAACTTTGTGGCAACAGTTTGGGGAAGACCCTTTCCTGTTTCAGCATAACAATGCCCCTGTGCACAAAGCGAGGTCCATACAGAAATGGTTTGTTGAGATCGGTGTGGAAGAACTTGACTGGCCTGCACAGAGCCCTGACCTCAACCCCATCGAACACCTTTGAGATTAACTGGAACGCCGATTGTGAGCAAGGCCTAATCGCCCAACATCAGTACCTGACCTCACTAATGCTCGTGGCTGAATGGAAGCAAGTCCCCGAAGCAATGTTCCTACATCTAGTGGAAAGCCTTCCCAGAAGAGTGGAGGCTGTTATAGCTGCAAAGGGGGGACCAACTCCATATTAATGCCCATGATTTTGGAATGAGATATTCGACGAGCAAGTGTCCACATACTTTAGGTCATGTAGTGTATATATTTAAATGTTATGGCGGTTTTCATCCATAACCATCGGTTACACGGTTATACGGTAATGTTGCCAGCCCTAAGTAGAAGGCTACACTTCAGTGAGCCAAGGTCATCCCACTGTAGCCACCAATATCCCCAGGGCATCCTTGTAGAGCAGAGTTCACCAATTACCAATGTCAAAATACACAGGAGGCCATCTTTGGATTTGAATTGCATGTTAAGCTAAATTCTGCAGAGAGTTTGTACGCAAATTATCTTGGCACTAACCCCGGTTCTTGTAGGCTAGTTAACATGGTTCACTGTGTTATTTGAACAGAATGAAAAAGTGAACGTTCAGAAACAGTGTGGTGAGTGTGGTCAAACAATTTTCTAAAAGCTCTATGTCCAAACACAGCTTAAAAGTAGGCTAATGTTTTGAAGACTCAAAAAGTTATCTTGCTGCCCTGGAATCCATGTCTGCAAAGGGGTGAACTGACTGGGTTCTGAGTCAGGGAAGTGGAGATGTCTTCACCATGCTCTAACTTGTTATTATAGTGCTGGAACGGCCCATCTAAAACCGCTCTCTGTCTGTCTGGGCCTACTGAATCATTACTGGTCTATTTAAAACCCTGCCCCGCTCCGGCTAATATGGAACACATTGTTATACTCCAACAGAGCCTGTCACTGTAACACGCATTGGGCTAACGCTGGCTAGACAGACCACAGCAGCCCACAACAATCCCCTCCACAGTCAATGCATCGGCTCAGGGACAAGGACCTGCTGTGTGGCCCGTGTTAGTACAGGATGGAAGCCATGCCATGGCAAGACACTGTGATAGTGTGGAGGGGACACACCATGGTAAATAACGACTGGGGAATGGAGAACAGCTTTGCTATGGGAGACTCAGTAAAATCAGGCACCCAGCAGATGGAGAAGACATCGTTCATTTACACATGTGGAAGAAACAATACAGAAGTGTTTGTCCGTGTCATCAGAGAGGAATCACGTGCTCTCTCTTCAACAGTGAAATCTTTATACCAAAGACAATATTATAGTGGTTATTGTGCAAGTTCTGTAAGATTATGCCCACAAAGTTTGAATACATGCAACTCCTGTCCTGTAAGAATTCACATCCTTCCAATTCTACAGTGCCTTCAGAAAGTATTCACTCCCTTTGACTTTTTCCACATTGTTGTTACAGCCTGTATTTAAAATGAATTAATTGGAGAAAAAAATTCCCTACACACAATACCACATAATGTCAAAGTGCATTTATGTTTTTAGACATTTTTTGAAATTAATTAAAAATGAAAAGCGGAAATGTCTTGAGTCAATAACCCCTTTGTTATGGCAAGCCTAAATATCTTCAGGAGTAAACATTTGCTTAATACATTGCATGGCCTCACTCGGTGTGCAATAATGTGTTTAACATTATTTTTTTAATGACTGCCTCATCTCTAACAAGTTTCTGTAAATAATTCTTTGGTAGCATTTCTATGTTGATCATACTTTTTAAAATAATATTTACACTTGATCTTTCTTGAATAACTTCCTCCAGTTATTTTTGTTTTTCCTCTATAGTACAATTTGTATTGCTATCCATCTGTACTGTTAGTTCCTCTATTTCCTTTGTTAATATGAACTCTTTGGACCTA